AGACTTTGACAACCATTAATCTGCTTTCTGTCCCTATGGATTTGCCAATATTGTACATTTCATATAAATGGAATCATACCATATGTTCTGAACACTCCTTTATATGAGACACTATGTGGGTTTTAAGCACGTAATTAATTAAAAGTCCAACGACTGTTTAATGCCTTTACAATGGTTCTATCATTCATTTCATATGTTCTAATACCTTGGCAAAACTTAAATGATCACCAAATTTCTAAACCTTGAAATGTCATGCAATTTGCTTTTCACAGCACTTTCTTATGATGAATAACCAAAAACAATGGAACATCTTTCTTTTACAAGAATAATTTTAAAGTATTCTTGGACTGTAAATATTTTTATTTTAGAATCCTAAAATAGTTGGCAATACTAAGTAACATTCTTCATGAACAAAAGCATATTACATTTATCAAGAAAGCATATATTGTCTCTATGGAAAGAAGTGCAACAATGCTAATTATGTTTTAAATCCATGGGGACCACTAAAAGGAGTTACCTATATAACACTGAACTTCTCTTCTGAGCTTGCAGAACATACCACAGGCAAAGAGAAGACCTTAAAATCAAACAGGGAGAACACCGACTTCCTTGAAAGGCAAGACATCACTGACAATAGACATCACATCATCAATAACCAAGGCCAAAAGACCATGCTGAAATCTTAAAGTGTTGAAGAAATAAACTTCAAATTGTATATCCAGCTAAATTGTATTTCAAAAAAGTGGGGACAGCCAAAACCAGTTTGGCTCAGTGGATAGAGCATTGGCTTGCGAACTGAAAGGTCCCAGGTTCGATTCCGGTCAAGAGCATGTACCTTGGTTGCAGGCACATCCCCAGTAGGAGGTGTGCAGGAGGCAGCTGATCAATATTTTCCTCTCATCGGTGTTTCTAACTCTCTATCCCTCTCTCTTACTCTCTGTAAAAAATCAATAAAATATATTTTATTAAAAAAAAAGTGGAACAAAGTAGACACTTTTGGCCAAAACTCTTTTAAAAATTTGTCATTTAACAAGCCCTTGGTTAAAGAAACACTAAAAATATACCCCAATAAGGAGTGTGTAAAAAAAAAGGAATCAAGTAGATCTAAATAAGTGCTGACTGTTAAACTAAAAATATACAAAGTTGGGGGCTAGGGACTTGGAGAAGAAGTTAAGTGAAAACAAAGTAGAAGTAAAATAATAGAAATAAAAGAAAATAGCTGAATTAAAAACTTCTAAGGTCCTTGCATGGAGGGAGCTGGAAAAACTTGAGAATTTAGCCGAGTCTGGTTTGGTTCAGTGAATAGAGCATCAGCCTGCGGACTGAAAGGTCCCAGGTTCGATTCCAGTCAAGGGCATGTACCTTGGTTACGGGCACATCCCCAGTAGGGGGTGTGCAAGAGGCAGCTGATCAATGATTCTCTCTCATCGATGTTTCTAACTCTCTATCCCTCTCTCTTCCTTTCTGTAAAAAATCAATAAAATTTAAAAAATAAAAAAAACTTGAGAATTTAAGTTAAACATGTATGTAAAAATGCAAGAGTAATTACTAACCTAGAAATAATATGTTATTTCCAAACCAGAAGTTTACGAAAAAAGTAAGGAAAAATTCAATCAATACTTCATAAATCAGAAAAGAAGGAGTGTAGGGGAAGAATCAAAGCATCAGACACAAATAATTTAAAAATAAATAACAAAATTCTAAATATATGAATAGATACATTAATGTAAATAGATTAAACTTTCCCAACTTAAAAAGGATAATTAGATTAGAAAGGATATTAAATTTTTTTAAAAAATCAATTTCACAAAAATCAACCACTATTCGAAGGGTGCTACTGTTTCTCAAGAATAAAGAACTAGAATAGTAAGTAGAATGGTTTTTTTTTTTTTCAATATGCCAGTAGCTTTAACAATCCCATGGTCTGAAAACCGTGATTCAAACCAAGTTACGTAGCAGCAAATGGAATTAGAATTCCCCAGTGCGTTAAGACTTGTTCTTTGAAGAATCAATGAACTTTCCTGCAATATTCTACTCCCATTTCTCAAGAAAAGCTCTTGACAAGGTAATGATTCAAGAAATAAAGGGCGACTTTTAAGACATTGGACAAGACTTCTTTTATGATCTTTGGCACAGTCTGTGATGCTAATATAAAAGCAATGATTCACAGTGACCTATTGGGCTTCCTTCATCAAAGTAACAAAACCAGATATGTTACCAGGTACCATCAGTTTTAATGGCAATCCACTTTTCACTGTTTTATGTCTCAACAATCTTTCCAATTTCCAAAATGGGTTCACAAAACAAGAATCTCTGATGGTATCAGCATGCTCTTAAAGGACAAAATAGAGAAACTAGCTTCAATGAGAAACATTAGAATTCATTCAGTTACTTGCGGAAAGAAAATGGCATCATAACCTCCAATTCCTTTAAAACCACGATTTGAGACGACAAGGAAAAAGTGGGAATAATTCTGGAAGAATAATGTCATCTGAAAGAGAATTTCACTGTTCTGCTCCCAGTAACAAAACATCCAAATTTCATAGAGCTTCATCTGGACCTCTCCAATCGAACTGTTACTTTTACTTATAAGATTTTGTAAGATTAGGCTTTTGTGTTGGAGCAAATCCAAATAGAGGGAAGTTTCCAGCCTTTTCTTCTTTCTTTTGTTATTATTGTTAGTCCTTACCCAAGGTTGTTTTTTCCATTAATTTTTAGAGACAGTAGAAGGGAGAGAGGGAAAGAGAAAGAGAGAAAGAAACACTGATGTAAAAGAGACACATGGATTGACTGCCTCCTACAAGTGCCCCAAAAAGGCAGAGATTGAACCTACAATTCAGATAAACACCCTTAACTGGAATCAAACTGGCGAGCCTTCAGTGAGCAGGTCAACCCTCTAACCACCAAACAATACTGGCCAGGGCAGTTCCAGCCTTTTCAAATTAAACCACCTTCTTGTCAAAACAATTCACACTGTCCTGTATGTTTTCTGGCTGGCAGACATACTAGTAATAATTAATGTCGTTTTTAAACATTCGTTTAAAATCTTGCTTGGCGTTGACTTGTATTGACATAACCTTCAAACACGTGGTATCTACAGAACGTGTGAAGTGCAATTAACAAGTTTTGCTTGAAAAAGTTAGTGTTTGGTTTGGTTTTTGTTGCAAAACTAGGGCTAAGAAGATGGCGGATGAAGAGCATATTCGGCACTGCATGCTTTACGAGTTCCAATTAGGAAGAAAAGCAAGTGAGGCTGCAAAAAAACATCTGTAGTGCTCTTGGTCAAGATGCAGTTAGCGCCAGAAAATGCCAGCGTTGGTTTGAGAAATTTCGCGAGGGAAATTTTTCGTTAGATGACAAGAGTGGTCGAGGCCGTGTGTCCAATTTTGATCAAGAAGCTCTTCAAGCTCTTTTGGTGCAAAATCCTCAAATTACCCAACAAGAGCTTGCGACAACTTTAAATTGTTCACAAAAAACAATTTCCAATCAATTGCGTGCACTTGGCAAAGTCCAAAAGTTTGGAAAATGGGTTCCTCATGAGTTGACCGACAACAACCGTAATCAAAGAGTCACAATTTGCAGTTCGCTCCTCTCTCGTCAAAACCGTTTGCCGTTTTTAGAGCAAATTGTTACCGGAGATGAAAAATGGGTGCTGTATGTTAATTTGAAAAGGCGGCCTCAATGGTTGGACAAAAATGAGGCTCCGCAGCCCACGCCAAAACCTGACTTGCATGCAAAAAAAGTTGTGTGTTTGGTGGAATTTTAAAGGAATTCTTCATTATGAACTTTTACCATCTAACCAAACCATTACAAGTGCAGTGTATAGTGACCAATTGGAAAGGTTAGCCCAAGCTTTAAGAGAAAAAGAACTCGCGCTGATTAATCGGAAGGGCGTAATTCTTCACCACGATAACGCACGACCGCATACTGCAAGAATCACTGTTGAAAAACTGCGCCAGTTGGAATGGGAAGTTCTCCCTCAACCTGCATATTCTCCTGATATTGCCCCTTCCGATTACCATTTGTTTCGTTCTTTGCAAAACTTTCTTCTTGGAAAAAAATTTAATAATGAAGAATGCCTCAAAAATGCATTGACCGAATTTTTTGCATCAAAATCACAAGAATTTTACAACAGAGGGATTAAAATGCTTCCTGAGCATTGGGCACAAGTAGTAGAAAACAACGGCAACTATATTGTTGATTAAATTTTGTTGTATTGTTTAAATAAATTCGATTTAAAAAAGTATTAGAAAACGACATTAATTATTACTAGACTTAGTATAATAGTAGAGGCTTCTTCAGCTTTGTTGGCTTCCAGCTTCTATTAGCAAAAATATTGCCTTACAAGAAAAAGCATGATTTTGTATCCCTGTACACTTAATCTTTACAATAAGATCAAAGGGCACAGTTTTTGTCCTGCTTCCATTTTCATTTTTTTATTGTATTTCAAAAACATGTTTCCATAGTTTCTGAGCCTTTTGGCTAAGATCAACTGTAAAAATATTTTTCCATTTAAACTAAACTCTACATGAGTAAATGGAGGTACAGGGTTACATAACCTAACTAGATATACTAATGCTCCATGACACCTTACATTTGTAAAAATACCCAAACAATTTTGACTTTCTGGAGGGGGGGAGAGAGGAGGGAGGAGGAGGAACTTTTAAAAAGGAAATTTCAAAGTAGTAGAAAAATACATTTTTAAAACATTTTAAATTAATTACATTACATCACAATTTAAATTAAGTCAACATTTAAATTATAAATCCTAAATATCATTAAGACAATCAATGTTCAAAAGATGGTTTTCAAGTAATCAACAAGCTTATGCAGCTTTTCTCATCTAATATATCATTAACATTTTTGAAATAACCATGTATTTTTTATGTTAATGAAACTTATTTTATATTAATATCAATCATCCAATCAAATATCAATCAATCAAATATCAATCATCCAATATCAATAACAGAATAAATAACATATTTATATCCACTTACTGCAATCTCTCTACAAGCCGACATGGATATTCCTGTGCCTTCAATTTGCTTCAATGCATATTCCTTTTCATCTTTTCTGCATATGAACACAAAAAAATTATTTTTTCAACACATTTTCAGATTTAAAATTATAATTACAAAAACAATGAAAATGTACTAGTCTCTCAGTGATATGTAAACACTCTCACATGCATGCACTGCTTGTTTCTGATACTTTAACTACAGAAATACAAAATACCAAAATAAATTAATGTCACAATGAAGATACCAGAAAGAGCCAAAACATAAAATTCAAAATTAAAACAGAATAGAATACTGAACAAGGCACTGGTTTCAAAAAGTAAACAAGCACAGCCCAACTGGTATGGCTTAGTGGTTGAGTGTCAACCTATTAGTCAGGAAATCTTGGTTCTATTCCCCATCAGGGCACATTCTTGGATTGGGGGCTCAATCCCCAGTAGGGTGCATGCAGGAGGCAGCCGATTAATGATTCTCTCTCATCACTGATGGTTCTATTTCTCTCTCCTCTCTCTTCCTCTCTGAAATTAATAAAAATATTTTTAAAAGTAAATAAGCATAAATATCAACTCAAGTACACTACAAGATAATTCTATTCCTATCTTATATTATCTGAAGTCTATGAAAGCTATAAACATAAATGCCAGATGTAAACTCCTATATTTGTTTAAAGTAATTTCATAATCTCAAAATTGCTTATTAGAAGGGAGAAACTATAGAAGAATATTGACCCGCTGGGACACCCTAGTTCTCACATAGTATAGGGAGCATTCAAAAGCTCCATTAACACAACATAAAGCCTTGGAAAGACTTAAAAACTCCACCACCATCTCAAGAACTCTTAGAAAAACTAGTAGGAACAGTCAATATTCCAAATAATGGAGGTAGGATCAGGGATTGTGGGGAACCACAGTAGTTACCAGGATGCTTAACCAAGTGAAGACAGCAATTCAAAAATGGTGATAAAGTTCACAAAAATAGTAATAGTATATCAGATCAGTGGCTAGGACCACACAGTATCCTCAGGTACTGACACCAGAATCAGCCACACCAAGGCCCCAGCTGCATGCCACAAATGTGGTTCATATTGAGGGTTGTTCTAATAAGAGGAGTAGAACCCATACCCTTTAAATTTTGTTTTTTGATTATATTAGAGCCTCAGCAAAGTATCACCATGTTTTGCCAAATGATAGTATGTAAGTGGTGCCACACCCTGTCCTACTTACCTATTTCGAATTTTCCCCATTCTGCGTTTACAAGCAGATAAATCAGATTAAGAGGTTATAATATGCATTTAAAACAACTTAAATGCCTTTTGAAGATTTTCACAAACATCTATGTATTGGGCAAATAATTGAATAATGGTTACTTTCCCCCACAATCAGTGTGAAAATTTATATCCATTATTTTTCCAGTACATGGCATTCAAGATAAATAAGCAGTATTTTTTTTTTTTACTTTCCTCTTTATTTTTGTTTTCTTTTTTTATAAGCAGCATTTTAATAAAAAGAAAACACACCAGATATTTCTACAGGATGGACTGCTATCAATTAATAAAATAATAATTATGAAGGACATTAGAAACATGAAATTTGTTTACCATTTACTACTAAGAATTACACAAATTATACCATATAAAAATACTCATATATCTAGTCATATGTTGAGGTAATATAACTAATAAAAGCAGTTGTGTTAAGATGGAGAAAGTTACATTATTAGCTTTAGTACTAACATTACTAAATGTCTTTTAAGTAAGAATTGAAGGAACAAAGAAAAGAGCCAAAATAATTTGACATCAGAAAATAGTCACCTACTAAAACAATCTTTTGTATTTTCAAAGTGCTATCTTAGGTATGTTTTCAAGAGCAAAGTAAAAAACGTGGAAAGCTTAAGTGATCATTTTTCCCTTTTCTCTGTCCTGTTTCCTCCAAACATAAAACTAGACTTCCAAATTACTCAGAAGTCACTAAGAAATACAAGCAGCAGGTGACTGAATGTCATTAAAGCCAAATGTCCCCCCGCCCCCACACCTACAATCAGGGTATCCCAAAAAATGTATACACATTTTGAATAATTAATTATAAAGGCAGTGCTTATTAAAATACATTTCATTTTCAAAATTAAGCTATCAGCTGTCACAGTGTATATGCATTTTGGGGGGACACCTTGTGTATGTGTGGGTATGTGAGAGCCCTCGTGCCTGAGAACTTAACACAGTGCTTATGATGTAAAATTCATAATTAGTAATTAAATTAACTAGTAGGCATCTATTACAGAATATTTAAGTATAACAAATTATTAAAATAAAATTATATAAGCTTTTTGAAAAAATTTTAGTTTGAAAGCATAATTTTTTAAAACAAGTATTTCAATACTCAGTTTCCCTAAATAAAGTCTTCCAGAAGCTCATGTAATTGCAGAGTTTTATTTTTAATACTGTAAAGAATATTACACAATCTGGATGGGTTATCGTTGCTATGGAAACTATAAAATTTTTGCAGTGAATCAAAAAGTACAAAATTAACACATCACATTAATGACTTTAGAATTTTACATTGAGGCTGTCAAAGGCATGTGAAAGCTTGAGCAGAACAGACTGAAGTATAAGCTTCTTATTCTGAATTATGTGGATAGGAACTAGGAACAAACCCAGTAATTATTTCACTTAATAAATTTAAATATTACTTCCATCTGTTAAATTAATAAAATACTCCATGGTCTGCAAACTTAAGAATTATTTGCAACTTTCAGATTGAGAATTCAAACACATATGTCTTTACCATTTCGCTTGTATGTTAACTGTCAGGTAGTAAGTGATGATATGGCCCCTCTGAGGTTCACCATATGAACAAGTAGCAGAATCCCAGAGGGCATAGGGGACCCACTTTCACCATGGTATTATGTCAATACCAATCATGGTCACATGCTACACGGCCCACAAATATTTTAATGACTAGCACACGGGGTAGGCAAACTTTACTGCTCTCAATCCATGTAAGTGACCCTCTCCAGGAATTCCTTCAAATGGAAATGACAAGTCATCCCCACAGCTTGTATGTCTCAGGCACATATAATTATTAAATGCCATAGGTATAATTTGTTCTTTTACATAACAAAGCTGAAAAGAGGTGAACTTCACCTATACTGTTATGATGGTATGGCTTTTACAGGCAGCTCAGTTCTTTCTTAAAGCTATTTTATTTCTAAATAAAAGTAGTTTATTGTTTACTATAGTAAAGACAGACAAAGCAATTTCAAAGCCTTCAGGTAAATTGCTTTCTAAATTTTAGAGCATATTAGATACTATGCTAAGTTAGAGCACCTACATGTTTAAAACATTCAAAGTAGTTTACTAAATAAATGCAGGAGAACTAAAAATATATAAATTTGTACTATAAACATAGATATATCTAATATAGTAATATTTTAAATTTAATGACATTTCTCCTATATGTTAGTAATGTATAGCAAAACCATGAAGGTTTCACTCTCAAGAGTCACAAAGAAAGAATTTAACAGGAACATTATGTAACAACAAAATAAAAAAATAAAAAATTTGGCAGACACTGTGATCCTACTACTTTTTCCCTCTGAGACACTATGTTCTGAAAAACTCTTGATGCAAGCAATTCTATAGATAGAAGAAAAAACAAAAAGCACATAATTGTGCAAACTGTAGAAATCATTGCCTTAAAATTTCTACCAGACTCAGTAGTAATATTTAAATGTAATTCAGGGAAGAATTGCTCAAGCTAAAGAAACAAGTTCAGTAGGAACATGTCTTAAATGAAATCTTAGGAACTGGTTTAATGAAAAAGATAGTCTTATACCTTTCAATAACGTATAAACTTGGTGACCAGCCTCCAGTCACTTTTAAATTTAATGACATTTCTCATATATGTTAGTAATGTACAGCAAAACCATGAAGCACCATGCAGCAGCCTGTATGCAAGTATGGTTAAGGTCTGGCCAAAACTCCATTTGTTATCATCATAACTAAACAGATCCAGGGCTTGTTTTTGGTTCCTATCAATAGCACCATAAGGTATTCAGATCAGTTCTGAGCCATCTTTAATCCCAAGAACCTTTGACAGACAAAAATCTAGAAGTATCTTTTAAAAATAAATAAATAAATGAGGGAATTCAAACTTAAGCAAGGCTGAGAGAAAATTTTTAGTCTTCAAACTAATAGGGTTAAAATCCATTTTTGTTTCTAAGGAAAACAGAAGTACCTAACAAACTTATTTTACATCAACCAACAAACAAACCCTGAGTAAATAGTGCATGCTCAACACTATGCCAAATTCTTTTTCTTTTTTAATTGTGTAATTGTCACCACTATTGAATTCCAGAACATTTTTAAAAAATATATATTTTATTGATTTTTTACAGAGAGGAAGGGAGAGGGATAGAGAGCTAGAAACATCAATGAGAGAGAAACATCGACCAGCTGCCTCTTGCACACCCCCTACTGGGGATGTGCCCGCAACCAAGGTACATGCCCTTGACCAGAATCGAACCCCGGACCTTTCAGTCTGCAGACCGCTTTCGGCAACACTATGCCAAATTCTAAGGGTGAACAAAATTAGACTACTCTGGATAGCAAAGTTCAAAATCCAGCTAAAAGAGATTCTGGGTGAGTGGGAAATAATAGACAAATAAGTGATATGACTCCCTCTGCACTCAAGAGGTATGCATAACAGGAACAGAAAGAATGAAACTAATATTTCTTCCAGAGCTTTAAGAAAGGAAATTAACTACTTGAGTAATGCCTTTAAGAGAACAGTTTCCAGAGGGAAGGGATCAGGAGATACAGAATTCTAGGCAGAAGTGTAGCATGAGAAAAATAAAAGGCATCTTCAGAAAACCACTGGTATTTAGTATGGCTGGCAGCTGGGGGCATGTTGACAAGAGGCAAGAGATGAGAATAGAAAAGTAAAGGGAATGGACCATGTGAGCTAGCAAAAAAGCTTATACTTCATATGTAAACAATGTGGAGCCAGAGGTTTTTAGAACAGAGAAGGTACATTAACAGATCTTTGCTCAGAAGGATAA